AAATTTCGTAGTGCTATATACCCTTTTTGCTGTACATTGTCTATAGTGCTATTAAGTCGTGATTAGACTGATAAATCGAGATTTTTTTCCTTATCAATTTTTGATATATAAGATTTCCATCTGTCCTAAACAGAATTTCTTTTTTTTTTCTTAGCATCTTGCAATTTACAATGCTTTGATTAATTTCAATGATAGAGAAATATTTAGGTTTTTTTTTTCATTTGATAATTTAAAATTAAAATTAAAATTAAACAAAATGAATGAAATAAAGCATATTAATTAAATATTAATTATTTTTCAAAAAAAAAGTTTTTAATTCTTATCAATTCTTATCAATTATGATTTATCAAATAAAATTGCTATCTTTTAACTAATTAGATAATAGAAAATCGAGAAAAATTTTTCATTTTTTTTCGATATTAATAGTTTTTTTTTTTTTTTAATTTTTTCTACTGAATCGATAGGCGACGACGATAGCGACAATAAAAATATTTTGCTTTCTGTTCGTCTTTCGCTTAGAAACGATAGTCTACGAGATTTGTAGCATTCATAAAATTGAATTCAACAAGCGCGCTTGACTGACTCGTTTAGCGATTATTAGCCAAAAATGGCTTTGTGTGGTCAATCAAATTGGATTGTAAACAGGTGAGAATTAATTAATTTCACCATGATTCTCTAAATAATAAGAGATATATATGGTATGATAATACCTGATAAGAGATTTGATAAGATTAGGCTAATTGATAAGAAATTCTGAATTCGATGAATTATATGATTTTTGTTGTTTTGTCATAAAATCATTTTGAAAGCTTTTCAAAGCATTGTAAATCTGTTCTACCGAATGAGATTAAATTTTCATAGGTGATTATTTATTGCTGGACTATAGAAAAAATTGTGAATATCTCGGCTTAAGGCTTATTTCTTTTATTTTATAAGAAATATATTACTAATGCAAAACAGTTATTTCCTTTTGTTTGTAGTGGTGTAGCGATGATAGAATTATTCTTAATGGTGATATGATAAGAATGATAAACAATAATGGTATGATGTGGATAATAAGTAATGATGATGTGATGGAGATGATAAGTAGTGATGGTATGATAAGGGTAAGGATGATATTGATGGTTGTGATGATGGTGATGATTATGGTGATAAAGATGTGATGATTCAAAACTCGGGGGAAAAATAACAAATAACAAATCGATGATAGTGGACGATTGCGAAATTTAAGGCAAATGATTTTGCTTTATTTTGCAAAAATTTTATTGCTGAAAGCGAAAACTTTTATGCAAATATTAGTGATAATGATATAGTGATAATGATATCTATTTTTTCTGCCTTAATTAAAAGTAATGATAATATACTCTATTATCCATTAAAATAAGTCTACATTTCCAAGCAGTTCAGTCCTTTCGAATAGCTGTTCCATTTTTTTCATCATTTTTTTTTATCTTTGGTACTCTTCTGTCTTTTTCTGACAGTCCAGGTTTTCACCTAAAATTTACCTTAGTTATGATTAGTTGTAAGTAGTATTAGTAAATAGTTTCTTATCATTATCATTATGATAATCAAACTCGAACGCTTTCTATGAATCTAAAAAATGGATCTAACGCAAGTAGCAAAATTCGCTCATCGTTAAAAGAAGTGGGAAAAAGTGCATTCGCTAGTATTTTAGATTATAGTTTTAGGCCCTACATCTGGAATAAATGTATTATTAAACAATCCATATGGCGTTGGCGATCCACTTATATTTTTCTATTATCAAATAACTTCTTGGTAAATAAATTATATTAATAGACAGACGAAGCTTTATCAACCACAAATGATAAACCATGAATGATAAACCATAAATGATAAAAATGAAATTATTCGAATTATAGAAAATTGCAAAAGAAGTTATCTTATCATTTTTTTTTTGGTCGTTTTTAGTTTAATCTTTTTTTTAATTTAAAACTTATAAAAATTAAAACCTTATCACTGATTAGATTGATAAATCGAGGTTTGTCTCCTTATCAATTTATAGATAATGAATATATTATAATATATTACATTATATATGAAAAATATATTATTATCAAAATTTTTATTTGAGGAATTTGAATTTCATTGTCTATTTAAATATGATTACTAATAAATTTACTTACTGTTCTAAAAATCTTATCACAATTTTCTTACCTTATCACATAACATCATAACACTTTGATTAATTTACTGATAACAAAAGATAAAAGGGTTTTTTTTCCTTCATAAGACGCCGTACTTTAAAAATATATATAAGACTAACGAAATATTCTAATGAAATATCAATGAAATTATTTATTCAAAAAAATTTTTATCGCATTATCACTTATGAGTTATCACTTTATCAAATAAATTTCATATTTTTTTATCATATTTAAATTATTGGATAATAGAAATTAAGAAAAATTTTCCAATTTTTCAATTTTTTTTGTTGTTTCTGCTAAATCGATAAACGCCGAGACGATAATAATAAGAATTATTTGTGCTATTCGTCCCGTCCGTTGGGAGGTCTACGAGATAGTTTTATTTTGTTGCATTCATAAGGGCGAATTCGTTTCGTACGGTCGATCCGTCGTTAACACGAAAATGTTCGTATTTGCTCAGTCAAATTTGATTGTAAACAGGTGAGAATTAAAATTTTCTCCCATAATAATAATTATCAGAAAGGATAGTGAAATTTAAGTGATAATATTTGATAGGATAAATTAGCCGACTGATAAGAAATATTACTTCAACAAAAATATTATCATCATATTTATCGTATGATAAGAGTAAATTTCTTTTTTTTTATTAAAAGTTATTTAATTCTAAAAATTCTCTTGTTCCTTCATTTTATCACTCATTATCATTGATTACTCGTTATTCTACTATTGTTAAAAAATTGCTTATGAATATAATTATAGTTAAAAGTAATGCATTATCAGTATTTAACGTTTTCTGATAGGTTTATTTATTCTTGTCAAGGACGCATCGAATTAACTATCCGCTCTCACCAGTCTTAACTCTGCTCACCTGGTGAAGTCCCATAAATATTTCTATCTTCAAAAAAATCATTCGAATGATAATATTCGAATGATAATCGAGGCTTATTTTCTTTTGATAAATAAATTTTAACGGTGTAATTCGATATTTTAATGAAATTCTATGAATCCTTCCGTTATTATTTGTTGCTGATAGTTTGTGGCGAAATGACGATTGCTGCTAAATGTATGGTGATTAAGAGATTATCATTTTGGCTGCAGGATTCTGCATCTAAAATTAGTGTAGAAGAGTTATTAAAAATAACGGAGATGGTGCAGTGGTGATAACGGCGGTGATAATGACCGCAATGATTTTAGTGATAATGGAGAAGATAAAAGCGATAGTTACGACTAAGTGGAATGAAGCAAAATCTTCGGGAAGAAAAAAAAAAGAAACAAATCGATGATGACGACGGCGAACGATTGCGAAACATTTTTTTTTTTTTTGTTAAACTTTTAGTTGTAAGGGACTTTCTGGCATAGCGATGACGAAAGGTTATTTGTACTATTTCCAAGCGTCCCTCTGGGGTGGTGGTGATAAGCGGTGATAGGAATTTTTGGTGTAACGGTGACTGCGTTCGTAAAATGGTTAAATACATCGAAAATACAAAAATACATATAAGCAAAAATAGATAGGTTTATAAGTAATAATTTATAGTATTGTTGATTAGGCTGCTAAATTTAGGAAACGCTTGCATTTTATCGATTGAGTATCGACTCGGCTATTCGATCCCCTTATTTGGACTTTGCAACTGATATTCTAGCATAAAGCAATTTATAATAATTTTATTACAACAAAAAAAAAACTTCGATTTATTAATTTTTATTTATTTAAATTGATTATTTAAATTAAATAAATTTTTCATTTTTCTATTTAAATTATTTAAAAATCGTTTTTTCAATTAAATTAATATTCGGAAATATTATTAAAAAAATTTTTATATGCATTTATTATTATTTTTTATTTAATTTATATTTTATTTACTTTATTTTTTTTTTTAGAAAAAAGGATTCGATTTTTTAATAAATTTTTGCTTTCTCGTTTCTCATCATTTGCAATCAATACGCCTTTTAAAAATAATTTTATATATATGAAGCGTTGCTAATGGATTATTATTGTTTTTATTTCACAGCTTTTCATTATTTTTTCAGTATTATTGAGTAATGTTGATAAGTGCGTGCAATGCATTATTGGGCACTGCAAATAAGTGCATGCAGCGATTTATTGAGCAGTGCAAAAAATGAGCGTTGCAATAAGAGCACGCGACGAATTGCGTTGAAGAACATTTCAGTAAGTGCAGCGCGTTATTGGGCGTTGCAATAAGTTCATCGCTTTATTTGGGCGTCGCAATAAGTGCAGCGCATTATTGAGCGTTGCAATAAGTGCAGCGTATTAATTTATTGCGAAAAGGGCAATGTTATATATGGGAGATGTGCGATAATTTTTTTTTTTAATATTATTATTCTTTTTTGAGATAGAATAACCGAGTAGTCATTATGTAGATTATCGTCTCGAAAGTTTGGCCCGTCCATTAGGGATTAATCATTGAAGGCCCAAGTGGTGCTGGTGACCTTCCTCTAGTCTCCAATAGATTCTCCATCTATCAATCCTTTCCTTTCTCCAAACATTCCTCTCCCTGGTCATCTCACTCCTTTTCGCTTTATCCAACACATTTACAGTCGTAGTGATAGCGATGATAATGAGCCATAATGATTATGCTGGTCATATCATGTCAGACTTATTGCTATTTATCATCCTTTCATTTTCTAACTTCTTAATTTACTAAATTATTTATATGTGTTTATTTCGACAATGTTGTTGAAAATTTTATCGTAAATAAACGAGATTATTAAGCGAAAACTTTGTTTTAAATATTAGTCATTGATAGTGATACTTATCAAGTGATAACGATAACGATAGTAATGATCGTTAATATCCTTTAATCTCTTTTCAGCGTAATGTCGGAGACGAGAAGAACGCTATTCAAAGAAATTGTACCTCCAGCACTGACACCACATGGTAAAGTTACTGTTGTTGGCGTTGGTCAAGTAGGTATGGCATGTGCATATAGCATCTTGCAACAGGTTGATCTTTTAATTATTGGCCAGTTCAGCATATCCATTATATATTCGTTAATGCCAATAAATAATCTGCTAATTAGCGATGCTGTGGATTAGAAATATATTATTATCAGACAATCGCATATTGATTGGCATGCAAACTGTGTACGAGTCGGTGCAAATTATAGGAAAAAAAGTTCCACAATATTGCAGTATAATTGTTATTCCATATTGATCGTTAATATTTCAGCATCTTGCAAGTGAATTATGTTTGGTGGATGTTGTTGCTGATAAGCTGTTGGGTGAAATGATGGATCTGCAACATGGTTTAGCTTTTACTCGTCACTGTTCTGTTAAGGCTGATACGGGTTAGTTTCATTTTAATGATTGTTATGGAATTTTCAAATTTCAAATTTTCAAATTTTTCTCAAGAATCATAGCTTGAATATTGAATAAGCTGATGAGAATTGGTTTTCAGTAGACTAGATGTATTCTGTTTCAGATTACAAAGTTTCTGCTGGTTCGAAAGTAGTTGTAATAACTGCAGGAGCTCGTCAACGAGAAGGTGAATCAAGACTTGATTTAGTGCAACGAAATGTTGAAATTTTCAAGGGAATAGTACCACAGATCGTGAAATATTCACCAGATGCGCTCATTTTGGTTGTTGCTAATCCTGGTTCGTTTTTTTTTTTCTTCAACTATCTTATGTTTTATCTTATCCTGTTTATCTTTATTTTCTATTTTATATTTTAGCTAACTTATCTTATATTTTTGTTCTTGCAATTTGGAAAATGGTTTAGGAGTTATCTTTTCAGAATTCGAAATGAATTGTTTATAGCTCTTATTCTAATCAAATTAATATGGTTATTAAGAGTTCAGTTTTCGGTTAAAATGGTTTTTGAATTTGATAAAATATTTGATATATTTTAGTTGATATACTGACCTATGTGACTTGGAAATTGTCTGGACTTCCTCAAGAACGCGTATTTGGCTCAGGAACTAATTTAGATTCAGCACGATTCCGGTTTCTTTTATCGGAACGACTTAATATTGCTCCAACAAGTTGTCACGGTTGGATCATTGGCGAACATGGAGATTCTAGCGGTATTATATATTTCATTTTAGCCAAAAAAAATTCTATTTTATTACTTATTTATATTTATGAAGTATTCCTTCAATTGTCCGATCGATTTTCGTTTTGCTGTTTACTCGCCGATGTCTAGTTATTTTCTTGTGTTGCTCAACTTAATCCATAATTTAGCTCCATCAAAAAACTGTATCAAACTAAAAAATTGAAAAATCTACAGTTGCTGTTTGGTCGGGTGTAAATGTCGCTGGAGTCCCACTTCGAGAGCTGAATCCAGATATTGGAAAGAGCAAAGACACTGAACATTGGGAAGTAGAGATTCACAAGCAAGTAGTCGAGAGGTATTTGAAAATGCAATTATTTCATTTTTCTTTAAAAAAAGAGAATATCAGTGTTTTTTATCAGCATTTGTTTGTTTCGAAATGCTGTCGCTTAAAAATTTTGGTCAATATTTCATTTTAGTGCTTACGAAATCATACGACTAAAAGGTTATACATCGTGGGCTATTGGACTGTCAGTTGCAGCTATCGTCAGTGGTATAATGCGTAATACTCGTAATGTTTTTGCTCTATCCACCAACATTAAGGTTGTAATTTATTCAAATTTAAAATATTTCCAAAATTTTAAAAATAAAAATCTTTTATATAATATTGTATTTATTTAACTATAATTCAGTGAACTCCAGATTGTGAAGAGTTATTTGTTTGCTAATTTATAAATTTCTGATTTTTGGTACTTTTATTGGTAACTGATATGGTTTCTAGAAATATATTGCTTTTAGTGTCATTTTTCATTTCGTTTATTGGAAATTGGTTATAAACTAAAATATTCATGAGATTGATATTTAGCTGGAATATTTTTTTGTTTTTTCTTTTCTATAAATTGGTTAATGTCTTAATCTTTAATCTTTTTTTTGATTATGAAGTTCATCTCGCTTTTTTTTTATCATTTTATGAAGAAGAAAGAACAGGGAATTTTAGGGAATTCATGGAATTGATGACGAAGTTTGTCTTTCTCTACCGTGCGTTCTCGGTGAAAATGGTGTTACTCATATTGTTAAGCAGACGTTAACGGGGAGCGAGGTTTTTTTTTTAAATTTTTTTGTATTTATGAAAACGTTTCTTTGAGATTTTTATATTTGCAAGGGTACATTCTCTATGTTTTTCATAAAAAAATCAAGTAAAACAATAGCCATGTTGATAATGATAATGATAACCAATAATGATAAGGTTAATAAACGAAGAAAATTGCAACAATGCAACAAAATATGTGGAGTAGAAAGTAGAAATAAGAATGAAAAAAATGAAAAGGAGAAAAAAGATACTAAGTTACAGTGTAGATTGGAAGAGAGGAAATTTGAGTGGAACCTTAAGTGATGTTATGAATGACACTATTTTTGAAATAAAAATTTAAATAAAAAAATTTATTTTTAAAATGAAATAAAAATAAAATAAAGAATAAAAAATACTGGTGGTGCAAATTTAATAGTTATTCAATAGTTCAAAAAATGAAATTTTGGAACATCACTTTTGTCTCGCACATACTATTTTATGTAATATTACGTTATTTTAATCTATCACCTCCTGTATTATTCAAATATAGCATAGTATTTCATAAAGACCACATCAGTATAACCAGATAAACCAGACTTTGTTGGATTCTCCTAATTCTTAATGGATCTAGATTCTGAGTTTTTTAAATTGTAGGATTTGGACGTCAAAAAGTATTTCTCTAGACTTTCAATTAGCTTGACTGTTTATTATTCCTAGGAGAGGATATGTACGAAAATAAATATTGATTATTGATGTATTATATATTGATGAGAAAAATACCGGTTATTTGAAACTCTTGAGCAAATAATTTATCTTATTGGCACCGTTTGTTCTAATATTCTCACTGAAAACAGAAGGGGCATCAGATGATTTCCAGTAATTATGTGCAAAATTTTACATTTTCATGAGATAATTTGATATTAAAATCAATTATCTATATTATTTAAATCAGAAGAAAAATCATTTGAACTTCCGTGTGAACAGTAAAGTTTAGCCATCAGCATAAAGATGAATTATTGAAAAGCTAATGGTAATAGTATTTATGATGACTAGATATATACAATTACCTTTTGGTAGAGAAGTAAAGAGGAGAAATCTAGTGAAGAATTATTAATACAGTTTGAAAGTGGTAAACTTTCCAGAACCTGGATTCAAAAAGAATTTCTCTTTAATAAGTTCCTACCAATACGTTGCCAATAATTTGCCATGTAGAACAGTATCAGAGGCCTTAGTTAAGTCGAAAATCCTGATCTGATTACAATCATTGCCGGCCATTCATAAAACTGGCTAGAGGTTACACAGTGCTAGATCCTTTAGTCGGCATCTAAGGATCGTTGTTAAATCAAAATTCATGTTGACAAGCAAAAATCAAAATTATTTGCAGCCATGCATCCTATCGCAGATATCGCATCCCTCCGGTTACTTGTATTAAGAACAAAGGTAACACCGGAGAGGCTGCACATTTTTAATATAAATTTTTGCAAAATTGGTGATAGTAGTAGTACCAACGATTATTTACGATGATTATTATAATTTTTTTGTAGTTAATAATAAAAACTTTTTTCAGATGCAAAAATTGCACCAATCGGCTAGTCAACTGCTTGAAGTTCAGAACGCTCTCAAATTTTAATAGATATATAGAGAATTTTTAAAAAAAATATCTCGTTATTTTCTTCAAAATAGTTGTCTTTTTTTGTTAGTTGAATTAACTTCATTCTATTTTTTTGCAATCCCACTGGTTTGAATAAAATTTAATGAATGAAATTTATTTGTACTATCTAATTCAATTTAAATAACGAACATATCATTTCTTCTTGGTTAGCTTTACTATTTACTTGACTGATCCTTTCGCCACATAGAGCTACTTGGCAAATGGCGATGCAAATAGAGTGCCAAATAGGATTTTATTTTTAAAGACAAATTGGCTTCTGTTGAAAGAACGAGCAAATTGATAATTATTTTCGTATTGATCTTCCTTCAGCGGAAAGGATGTTTAGTTCGACTACTTTCAGTTTTAATTTTTATTTTTTTTATTTGACATATCAGGAAAATCTAAAAGTTCTGAATCAATTTTGGTGTAAGTAAGTAAAATGTACGGTTGGCGCTTTCGCTTTCTATTTCTGGTTAGATTTGTATCGCTATTAGAAATTTTTATTTGGAAATTAAGTGACGATAATGGTGTAGATAGGTCGGTATGGATCTTTAAATTGGAAATAGAAGGCAGCAGATCGCACCAATGGGTGCTAATACAATAATTTAGCAATTTAGCAACTCTGCTATCATGCATTTATGGTTTTATTATTAGATTTATATTAGGTGATTATTTATGGTACCGTCGCGAAATCATATAAAGATGAAAATTAGCGCCCATACAGATTGCAATTCGTTCGATCTTGCTATTGATGCGAAACATGGCCAATAAGAGAAGAATATATTAAGCCATTAGCTTTTGACCACTCATGTCTAAGGTACTTTCTACGGATCCGCCGAGCAAATAAAACCGCACAAAATACCATCTGTATTAATCTGTATTAATCTGTATTAGAACATTCGAAATTTCTTTATCAGTCATTTAGAACATTCGGAAAATTTAGCAAAACTTTTGGGTGTTTAGCTATCATCTGAGAAGAAGAATTCCTTTTCTTCAGAGCAAAAAGTGGGTGGTGATGGTGACTATATATTTCTATGTCCAAGTGGTTCATTCGCACCTACTGTGAATAGAATTAAACTATCTATTAGATTAGATTATTAGATTATATTCAAATGCTATCTAAAATTTAATTGCTCTGCAATTATTCTGTATTCTGCTCGTCATGGGTTCTCATTTCTTATCATTGCAGGTAACAATAGGTGAATTTAAATTTTTTGGGATAATCTAAATGGTCAAATTTTACGACTAGTTTTTGCAACGAACTAGTTTTTGGGTTGTGGTACTTCATGGGCTTGAACTGGGGCAAGAAATTTATGGTATATCTAGACACCTTTTGATGACTGTGTATTAAAGAAAGGAACAAAATACGGTTTGTTTGAAAGATAAAAATTTAAAAATATAGACCTTGAAAATGTTTAGGCTCTAAGGTTCTATAAATAAATAACACTTAAGGAAATGGCTGAAGGCAAAGGAGTTATGCAAATTTAGTACAAGAGCTTGGATTTCTAGCTTTCACCGTGTTGAACCATCTTCATGAATATCAATTGAGGATACTTTTGGAGGTTAATAGCTTCTAATATCAAAGATGGTCCTTTTCGCGGATGGATTTTCACTTTTTGGCAAAAAAATTGTATTTTGTACAAGAAAAGATTGGTGCATTGGTGTATTGGTGCATTGGTGCATTGATCAAGAATCAATCTATCTATCTCTTCAATCCAAAACTTGATCTCCACTTTAAGAAGGCTCTAGTCACTATTTGTTGATCTGCTATAGGATTGATTCATTTTCTACAGCGAGTGTAGTTACAGTTCACATAAAGAATTAAAAATAGCTCATCCGAAACAATAAATTCGAGCCGAAACAATAAATTCGCCAACAAAAAAAATCATTCACTATACAAAAGTACCAAAGAGTGCACGTTGCGAGAATCATTTTAAGATAACCTCTAGGATCAAATTTTATATGCAGCGGTTTTGGTTCTGGTTTTTGAACTTTGGATATTCTCCAGACTTTTCGCTAACACGCATTAATTTCTTCCGTCGACAACTTCTTCAGTGAGAGATGCCTTCGAAAACAAGAGAAAATATCCTTCAGCTATTCACTGCGCTTCTATAGAAGCTCGGAGTTTAACGCAAACCGGAATAAATGCACTCACCGGAATAAAGTGGTGGTATTTTGATTCTTTTTGAATAAAGAATTTTATTTTAGGAAATGAATTTTAGATTTCAACAATAGTCCAATTTTTTAGAACCACTAAATCTATAAAAAGGTGAGTATTAATTTTTATTTTCTAAGCCAATTTAGGCTTATCAGACTTAAACTCAAAGACTTATCAGCCAGGAAAATTTATCTATTAACAAAGAAGTACCAGATGAATTGTTTAATTTATTCAGATTTTTAGGAAAGTAGGCTTTATCTTTGCTAGAATTTAGTGTTATATTTAAATCGTTTATTATATATTTTATATATTTTTATTATATATTTTAAAATATTTTAATATGATTTTATTATTTTATTTAATTATAATTAATTAATTTAAATAAAATTATTTTTTTATAGTTGAATTGTATGATTTTCAAAGTTAAATTAGAGGAGATTTTTTGAAATTTATCGTTTATTTATTTCAGTTTTATATTATTCTTGTAATAATGAAATTAACAAAGAGATTTTTTTCTATTCTAATAAATGAACAATTAATATAATCGAAAAATTATATCGAGAATTATTCTTTTAGCACAACGCAAGATGATTTATTTTCGCTCTTTTTTTTAAACGAATAAATTTCTACGAATTTTCATTTCGTTTACCAAATCGAATAAATGTTGGCTTTCCATGTGAACGCAAATCCCTGTTGTAAAAATCTTTCATTCTTGGATCATAGTCGATTATAGGAAATTCTATGAATTTTGACTGATAATTGACCTGAAATATTTAAATAACGATTAGTGGAATTTAGTTAGAATTAGAATTAAGGGAATGATTCAAATAAAAATTTTTTAATTTTGATTTTATTAATAATATATTAAAATTAATAAAAAATAAAAAAAATACTAATATATATTATAATATTAATAAAAAAAAAAATTAAAAGGTAGAAATAGATGTGAATGACTGGATTGTTGGATGGGATTACTCGCCTCATCAACCTTCGTATTTTTACCGAATAGAAAAATAAGTCTGCCTTTAAAAAATCCGATGGTTGGGAAATCAAATTGTATTTCTATGTTTCAAGTGATTTTCTGCTAAAAATTTTTTTATACCAATAGGCCATAGGGGAAATTTAATTAAAAAATAAGCGTTAATAAAAATAAGAGTTATTTATTGGGTCAATTGGGTTACGAGCACTTGTTATTTTTGATAAGGGTGATAAGTTGTTTTATTGGTCAAATACCTTTTTTTATAAGTTTTTGCATTGAAATTATGA